TAATTATATTAAATATTTTACAGGGTTTAATGGAACAGCTGGTAAACTTTTAATTACAAAAAGTAAGATAGGGTTATACTTAGATTCGAGATATTATACAATGGCAAAAAAATTTACAGAAAAGAATAAGATGGAACTAATTAAAGATGATGACATGGACATTGAAGAATTTTTTGAGTCAGAAAATGTAAAGAAGGTGGGTATTTGTCCAATGTTTATAAGTTCAAAAATGTTTGAAAATTTAAAACATTCTTTAGAAGAAAAACATATTAAATTAATTGAAAGTGATAATATTGCTGATAAGATTTGGATTAACAAGCCTAATAGGGTTCATAAAGGAGCGGTTAAAATTTCTGATAAAAACAGAATAGAGTTAATTCGAAATAAACTAATCAAAAATGATGAGATGATAATTATAACAGACTTGGACACAATTGCATGGATTACCAATCTAAGAGGAGGAGATATTGAATTTAATAATATTTTTTATTCGTTCTTAGTTATAAATAAAGAGAAAGCAATTTTATTTATAAATAATTTTAACGAAGAGATTCAAAATATAGAAATCAGAAAATATGATGAGTTTGAAAATTTTCTAAACAAACTTTCAAATAAAAATATATTAATTGACAAAAGAATAAATCAACGATACTTTAGTTGGATTAAAAAACGTAATAATGTCGAAATTACTTATGAAGTAAAAAAGGAACAATCAATTAAAACAGATGAAGAAATAGATAATTATTTTGTTGCTATTAAAAATGATGCCATTGCTTTAATAGAATTATTTGATCATATTACAAAACACGATGAAGATGAGGTGATGATTGAAGAAAGATTAAGGTCAATCAAAAAAAAGTTATTTAAAGATTCTGATTATATTAAAGAATCTTTTCGTTCTATTGCTGCTATAAACTCTCCTGATCTTCATCATGATAATAATAAAACCAAAGTATTTAAGAACGGTGACGTTATTTTATTAGATACAGGATCACAATATTTTGTGGGTGCAACAGACATTTCTAGAACTATTTCGAAAGGTGAAGTTAATCCTGATATAAAACAAAAATATACTTTAGTTTTAAAAGGGGTCATTCAAAATTACATCACTGATAATAAAATTGAATCAGGACATGATGTTAATAAAAATAGTGGAAAATTTTTAAAAAATAATGGTTTTTATTATGATGATAATACAGGACATGGAGTTGGTATTGTTATTCATGATGTGTTTCCGCAAATACATGACAATGGTAATAGACTTATTAACAATCAAATATTTACTATTGAACCTGGTTATTATCACGTTGATAAGAAATCACCTGAAAATGAATACGGGATAAGGATAGAAGACATGGTTTTTTATAAAGATGGCAAAGTTACAAACATGACATGCGTACCTTATCATTTAGATCTGATTGATTTTAAATTACTGAGTAACAAGGAAATTGAATATTTAAATTTGTTTAATAAACAAATAAAGATTTCTTTAAAGGATAAAATTCCAAGCAATAATGATTATTTTATTAACAACACTAAAGAAATTCCATTAAATGTTTAAGGTTGATTGAATAAATTTTTTTATAAACAGTTTCTTAAAAAAAATTGTTTTTAGCAACTACTTATTAAATATTAATAATGTAGTTAAAATTAACCTTGATTTGTTTTAGACTTTTAGTAAAAAGTGTAATATTTTTTGTTTAATATAGAATTGAAATTAAAATGATATAATTTTAATAAGTAAAGATGATTCACCAACTCTGTTGTTTAAATGTAATATTAAAATTAAATTTAAACTTATAGGGTAATATAATAAATATTTGATTAAAAAGATAAAGATAATATAAGTTTCTTAATTAAATTTTATTTACAAAATGTTTGATATGTTTTAAGAATATGTGTAATATTAAAAATTGTTTTGTAAAAGTATAATTTATAAAAATTTTTATTTTTAAGTTTATTAAAATGTTATTTGCGATATCATTATAGGATGTATAAATAATGTTATTAAATTTTTCAATACTGTTCTCACGCTGATCCGTATATATCTCTTTTGTCATCAAAATCATCACTCATTGACTTACAATTAGCGACAAAAAACTTGAAATTTTATAAACTTAATTTAATAATTACTTATTATTATTTTAAGACATAATATATAAGATATCAATAGAGTAATAAATATTTTTTCTCAAAAATTAATCTTTAGACTTCAACAAATTTTACTTAGTTGATAAATTAAAATATAATATTAAATTATTACAAAAAATATAAAATTTTAATGTATATAATAGAAAACTAACCTTTCATTCATACGTATTTTTTTGAAATGATAAATCTATAAACATACCTGGTCAATATTCAGAGTTTTTAAAGGTAAGGTAAAATCATTAAAGAAAATGAACTATACATATGAATAAATTTCTTTTAAATTAAATATACCTATTTTATCGTGGTTCTTTTTATGTGAAATGATAAGCGAAAGAGGATTAAATACAAGAAAAATTGAGTTTATTAGGCCATCAAAGCTAAATGACAAAGATTATAATATTATAAGTGATATATTATTTAAAAATAAAAAATTTTCTGCTGTAAATATTAACAGAAAATTTTTATAGGCTACAAACAAGATAATTAGTGATAAAACTATATAAATAATGTTAAAATTAGTTGGTTTAAACTTAATCTTGCCTTCTAATAAGCTTAAACTTACTCCTAAGCATAAATTCAATAGATATAATTTTAAAAAAGTTCTTTTTTTGAAGTAAATATTGAAGTGATGTTAATTTCATTTACGAATCTTTTTTCACTTTATAATGATTTAGAAAGATTTAAACTGTAAATAAGTAATAAAAAAATCTATTAATCAAACACTTAAATAAAGAAAAATCATGGTTTAAGGTTGCATGTATTCACAGGGTATCGGTTGGTTATTTTTTCTTGAGAAGAATAAGGATGCAACTTATTATGTTGAAATTTTTTCAAATAATTTACCAAAAAGCCTAGATATTTTTAAATATGAAATTTTAAAAATTCTCTAATATAGAGATCCAAAACATAATATCAAACTTTCAATGTATTTTTTAACTTTTATAACATTAAACTTGTAGAACGGGTTACCCATTCATCAAATCTTAATCTTATTAAAAATTTGTGGGTTATAATAAAGCAAAGATTGGGAAACATGCAGTTTAATAGTATAGAAAAGATAAAAGATGTAGTATCAACTATATGGAACAATATTGAATCTTCATTCTGTAAAAAATCAGTAGAGTGTATGAGTAATTAAAGCTGTAGTGAAAGCATAAAGTGGACACACAAATTATTAAAATTGATTTTCATATTTTTTTATCTTTTTAAGTAAAAAATATTTCTTAAAAATAATTTTATAATTTTTCTCCTAGCATAACATTTTTTAATATGTTTATTTTGAATTTAAAAATATTAAAAAATTATTTTCTGAGGTGAAATAAAGACTATAGAATTTACAGTTTTTTTGTCACTAACTGTATAATCATCTTCTATCCCTTGACTATAAATTTTTGTATTTTCATAGTATTTTTACTTTCAATTTTATATTCGTTTGCAATTAAATCTCTTAGTTTACGACAGTTATTATTAAATTTATAATAAAAAATTTTCAATACTATTATTAATTTTTTTTTCAAATTAAATTACTTTTTAATTGTTTTACAAGTAAAAAAACAGTTTAAATTTTTATTTGTTTCTTATAATAACAAAATTTGAGGTTTATTGTTACATATGAAGGGTATATTTTATTATAAAGTTCAACATTTATCTTAATAATTTTAAGAAACTTATAAATAATATAGAACAATGATTGTTAAAAATGAAAAATGTCTTTTTATATATAATTTATAAACAAAAAATAAATTCTTATATTAATACTCTCAATGATAATACAAATATGACAAATTTTATTTTTTTTATAAAATTTCTTTTTTAAACAGATAAATTCCACACACCTTTTTATGGTTTTTTATATTACTAATAATAAATAAAATTGCTACACAATCAAAGACGGTTGTATTTATATAAAGATTATATTAGATAGAATAAGCAATACCAAAAAGTGAAATTCACACGTGTAAAATATTTACCAAATTAAAAATAAATTATTAAACTAATTTAAGTTAATTCATTCATTAGAAATTCATAGCTCAGATAGGCTGTTAATAACAAGAAATAAGATTATTTACGGTATTTAAAATATTCGAAAACCACTGCATGTATTAATATATACCTCAATATAACTCTAACAAAATTAAAACGATTTTTTTGACTATTTTTATTTAATTAATATTTGTTTGTTTATAAATATTAATTAAATAAAATAATAATACAAAAACATCACTTAAGAAAGGTGTTTTAATAAAAAAGTTGATATTGTGAATAAAATAATTTTCAAATAAATTACTAATATTTTTAAGATAATTTTAGCATATATTAAGGGCACTTTCAATTTTTTTCTTATATGAATTTTTAAATTTAAAAATCTCATGACGAGAGTGTGTTTGAAGTAAATTTAACCCTTTATATATATACTTAATTGACATTAAAATTTACAATAAATTATTTAATAAGCAAGATATGTTCTAAAAATAATATTTTAATAAAATTTATGTTTTTCCTATAGGATTTTAAGATTTTAGGTTTCATTTTCTTCCTAT